CAATATTTTCTATGTCGATTGATCATAGACTGATCAATTTCGAGCAATCTGACGAAAAATCAATACGTTTAACACCATTAATTAATTTTCCCCACTTATCATATTGGTCACCACAAACATCAACAAATTTGCATGTTGCATCTGGACATGTATCAGTTACATAATGATCTGCCAAAAAACTTCAAATACATGACTGTATAAAAAATAAGAAAAAAAAATGCAAACAAGTTCTGTACCGTTGACAAGTATCACAATATAATTGTTCAACGTTATTATTGAAGGCATCTATAAATTGTTTTATGTAAATCAAAATATTCGTCGCAAGTTTCTCGTGGTGTATATTTCAGTTCATATATCTTAAATTTAATATTAACAATGAAAAAATGGATAAGGAATTGTTTGATTTTACTGAGCAAGAAAACATCAACATTGAATAAAGATTCAATAAAAGAATATTCAAATGAGGTATATTGTTGACATAAGGTAAAGTACTTGTTATCGCAATATTTCGAACATCAGGTTTTGGTGTTCTTTGAACAAAAAAAAAAATAATGCTGCTAGCATGTTTTGTGTGGGATTAAAGTATGCAACACGATGTAGCTGTTGTTGCTAATCACAAGAAGATTGTTTTATTCAGTCTAATTTGAAAGAGATTTCTTCATCATTCTATTACTTGATGTTCCAGAAATGCAATAAGGAAATAGTTAACTAGACGGTATTAAGACATGATTTTTGATTTCATATCAACAAAGCATGTTACTGTCTCTGATAACATGGAGAGACATGCAACTAAAAGGATTCTTCATTAGGATTAGTAGGCCCGAAGGCTTCAACGTAACCACTGGAATGAGGATTTGTGGAAAATCAGGACGTCCAAAACTAGATTTCTCTTATCTATTCGAAGATTTTGAGAAAATTTTTTATTGAATAGAACAAAATGAGAAGTCTCCGATCTCCATGAAGTTCGTTCATCGAACTACCTTACATGTTCTCCATAAATCGAAAATAAATTGATGAAAGAAGTACATGAAGAGTTCGGTGACGTCTTATTTCGCTCTATCAAATAAAAATTTATAGTTCTATTGAAATCTTCAGAGCTGCTACTACCGATAGAGAATTGTCTCAGCTACATAAATATTTTATATTTCAACATTCATTTCAAATCATTTTTTTACAAAAATATAGTATCAGATAGAATACATGAATGATTATCTACATGTTTTCATCCAATTTCATTTTATTGAGCGTCGAAAATATTTTTAATTATCGATTTAAAGCTTTCTCAGCTTTTTCTGTCGATCGATAATATAAAAGATGAGTCATTCATTTGTCATAAAATTGCATTATTTTCTTCTTTCTATAATCGAATAAAATTATTCCGAAAAGTGGATTAATCATCAAAAGGAAATATTTTATGTACATGGTTGCAGTCCGAAAGACAATTCAATAAATGATGAACAGTTTTCATGAACGAATTCTAAAAAACACAAAGAGATAAATGAATTCGCAATTGAAAAAAATATTGTTAAATTCTTTTTGAAAATAGATCATATCAATCAAAATAGATCGAACAATAATTCAACTTTAATCAATGATATGCTTTTCGAATGAGACGATGTTCATTTGATTCATAATAGAAAGGTTTACAATGAATGATTTCGCTTTTCAGATTTTCGTTGTTTTTCAATAGAAACCTGTAGTCCTACTCAGCTCACATGAATAATTGACTTTTGAATTCAAATTTTGTATGAACATTAGATTAATTCTTTGGGCCAGTCGTAACTTTTCTAGCTCTTTTTTTTTCTATCCTGAGATATTTAATATTCGAAATTTTCTATACTAATGATTCTTAAGAACTTTGTTCGCGCAAAATTTGAAGTCTTTTGATATCGTATGTAAATAGTTATATAGAATTGATATTATATGATTTTTTTTCGTCTGTTTTTATTCTTTGGAAGAAACAGTTCTTAATAGAAATATCTGTCACATGAGATATATTACAAGAAACTATTCATGCAAGGAGAAATTCTATTATCAAGATGTAATGTAAATTGTGTGAATGAAGTTTTGCATCTCTAGTGTTGATCAGATACATATTGCTACCAAACCATGCTCAATATCGAGTATAAGTTTTGCTGTTTATTGACAAAAATTGTGATTGATTTTTGTTATATTAGAGTAAGAAAGACTTGTAATGACAAAGAGGTTCATAGAGAATAGAAAGAATTTCTATATTGTCATTGATCTATCGCAATCTGATCGTATTGAAGAGAAAGATTGAAATGCATGTGATATAAAGGAGCTCTGGAAGTGGAGACGTTTACACTCTTTTTTAACCAATAATCGAGGATTATATATTATTATCCTTAAGAATTAGCCACATTTTTTGTTACTACCCTTTGAAGACATTCTTCCATGTAGATATTCTCATTGGGTTTCTGGTGTCATCTCTACAAATACAAAATAGTTTTGAAGGAAAAACTGATGTGTCATATAATTGTCCAATGTCTGACATATGAATAATCCAAAAGATAAACAAAAGAAGAGAAGCAACGTAGTTCTGGTGGCTCTCTCCGTGATATAATCAGATTCAATTTGATAATAAAGTAATCGTTCAATAATTTATTCAAATTATTCAAAATAAATTCTAAAGCTTTTCTAATTTCTTCATATATATAAAAGAAGAAAGTTAGTTGTTGAATATTCTTGTGACCTCTATCGTTATCCAAATCGATTACTTCATGTATCAACAAATATGAATGTTCAAATACCGTCTCTTCAGGAAATAAAACATAAATGTTTCTGATTAAAACCTTTCAAATGAAATCTTTTTATTATTGTAGTATCGTCAAGAATGTTTAAAGGACCGAGCTTAGACTTATCATTGATGAGTTGGAATATCTTAGCTTCTTGTTGGATTAATAAAGAATAGTATCCAGCTTTGTACGAATTAGCTGCTGACTATCAAACTAGAATGAATACTATTGCATCACAAATTTCTTCTCTTAACTGTAATGTCACCATACTTCAAGAAGCTCAAGAAAATATTATTTCATCACTCAAAGAAAAATTGGGTGACAATTACTTATATCAATTTGCACCAAACAATCCAGTTTCAGCTTCAGTTGCTAATGGACTTCTTACATTGATAAAAAAAGATAAAATAACGTTTTTCGATATTATTCTCAATTCAAATATTCTTGATGAGATTGTTTGACTTTAGTTAGGAGATAGATAGATCAGTGAACGATGGTTTTGGTAAGAAATCTCCGTGTTTGTGTTGCACATAGTAAAAATGAATCGACAAGATGAGATACAGCAGAGTCACTTGTATGCGAAACCATAAATAAGAGAAAAAGCCTACAATCGATGGTATCAACGAAATTTTTTCTCTCGCAGTAAAAGAACTTCTCATTTGGTGTTAGTTTGAAGTCTTGTGACACTCTATCGTGTATGTCTACAGACTTCTAAAAATACTTTTTTTGATAGAATCAACTCTCAATAAAACAAAAGTACTAAATGACTTTCTCTCATTCAGCAAGTACAATTTCAAAATTTCAAATGACGACTCATTAGGAAGATTGCTAATTAGGACTAGTCATACGTACAGGTAACATTGTCATCTCTAAAGAGACAATGATAGAACGAATGTATTGTGCATTTGTTAGCATACAAATGTACATATGTGCAATCAACGAAGAGATAAGAAATGGTAGAGAACGCATGATTCAACTTTTTTTCTTCTTTAAAAGACTTACATTTGTGCCTAAACGATGTAATAATGGACTGAAGAGAGAATACTATGAGTGTTATAGAAAGATCGAAAGAAAAACTGTTGAAAATTTCATATGAAAAGAGATAATGTGGCGTGCGACTGCGGATGGATGTGGGTGCCGATAAATATGAGTTGTGAGTCTCACATTTCATGGAACCAACATCTACACTATCCACATCTGAAGATCTCTTTAAGAACAAAACATTGATATCAGTATTATGCTATCAACATAATGTTCAATATACTGATTCAATAAAAGTGAAGTTTTTATTGCCTTATGGTTACAGAATATGTCAATAGTTACTATTTATATCACAGTATTCATGTATATTATGACAGGCAAATAAAATACCCCGATTTTTCAATGCTTGAAATAATCAGCATTTAAAATACAATGATAAAGAAGACATATACTCTTTTTTATTTGCTTAGTTTCATTTTTCTTCAGCACATAATACTGATATGTGGATATGGAATCAGAGAAGGCTGACACATACCCTAATACATGCATATCCCATATCGCTTCTAGACGTACTATCAATTCAATTAGACACTAATATCAAAAAGGTTAAGATCTATTTCTATTAGCTGATCATATACATATGAGTCAATCTGTATAAATAGAAATTCATTTGGAAAAAAATGATATATAGAAGTATATGTAAAAAATTCAGCTAAAAAATCATAATAAATAAATGATATATCTTTAGAGAGGTAGAATTGAGTACAAACCATGCAAGATCGTTTCTCGTAATCAATTTATTTTTTTATCAACAAGATCCACTAATGATGAATATATTTAAAAAAATATTTTCACCATGTTTGTTTTTTATCTTCAATCTTTTTCGTTACGTTTATTTATTTTAAACATGACTCTCTTAATCTATTTCATGAAGTATTTTCAATTATTTTATGAATATCTTTTCCTCTTTTCTCAAATTCATCATATCAATTGTTGTTTCAGATCGAAACTTTATAACAATTTTTTTTTGTCATAAAACACAATATATCTCATCGAATTATTTTCTCTTGACTACATATTATTAAACTTACTAAAAGAATTTTTCAATGTAAAATCTTTTCTGTGAACTTTTCAATAGAATTTCTTACATTAAAACATGACGAATAGATTTATGTTATTTTCTTTTCAAAACAAAACAAACAAATAACTTTAACAAAAAATAATGTACATATGAAAAAAGTAAATGTCAGTACAAAAAGTACTTTATGATACCAAACCATATTTGAGCATTGCTTCAATTAATTTCATACATCGTTTATATAAATCATCGATATTTGTTAAATTTTCTCGTTCAAGTTCTATTTCATATAGACAATCAATAACTTCTTTTTTATAATTTAATAAATCAGTTTCATTTGGTAGAATTGCTTTATTTTCTAAAATCTCTCGACGGTCAATTATTAACTCATAAGCCATACCGTCACCAGCATGAATCTGTAAGTCTTTTTTTTTGTCTTTTGAACAACGAGATAACAATATCATATAAATTATTGATATCCAATCATCAGCATAATAACTTGAGACTTGTTTACCATTTGATGATGAATATTGTTTCAATACAGGTGTTGATGCGGTTATAAATGCACCTTCATATTCACCTTTGAAACCATTAAATATTGATGAATTCCAATCAATTAAATATGCATAATCATTCCTATCTAATATTATATTGTGTATTCGAATATCTCGATGTACATATCCAGTTTTTTGACCAATAGCTAATTGTTTTAATATTTGAATAATATATTTTTTTTTACATATATCATCATTCTTTATCATTTTTCCAACTGGATTTGATAAAATAAAACCTTCTTGAACATCGATTTCAATCGTTTTATAATCTAAATCAGATATATTCATATAACCTTTCATTTGTTGAACTATATCATATTGTTTTCTTGACATTTTATTTGAAATTTTCATTGTATATTCAATATTATTATATGAAATTCGATACACCATAGCATCTGCACCACTGCTTACAAACAAAATAATCATAATTCAATAGATTTAAAAGATCATATTGCTCATTGAAGAACAATATTTTCTAAAAATTTAATAATAAGATTAAAATCAAATGTTCTTTTTAAATTAATAAACAAATATAGTCAAGTATTCAATTATCTATTATAATTACAAGTAAATTTCTACAATAATAATATAAATCTTAAGAAAATTCATCTCCAACATCTTTCTATTATCGTTTTAATCAATATTTTATTTTAAATGCTTTTTTTTCTAATTTTTATTCGTATTACATACGTAGATGTGTTATGTCGATTAAAAAATCTTGAAATTTTTCATTATTATATGAATATTCTTATCATGACATATCATATATATTCAATAAATCAATTATTTCTTTTAAACAATTGACAGAAACAGAATTCAATTGAAAAATCAATATTTTAACAAGAAAATAGAAAATTCTTTTAGAATAAAACTTACAAATTATTCTAATTCACATTAGATCTATCTATTCGAAAAATTTTCACATTATCAATTTAGTAAAATACAATCATCACATTTAATCAGTAGCATATATTGATGAATCTTCTTAGGATTTGTTTTTCTTAATATATCTATTAAAAACATCGTTTTAAATCAATTATGATATAAAAATACATCAAACACTCGATTAGATTCATAATGAACGATAGAACAAAACTAAAATAATTCATTTCTATACAAAATCTTTCTCAAAACTACTAAACAATTCTTTTGCTTTTATTTAATGGCATTGAAAATATCACCTAAGAACTATTTCTAATAGAAATATCCTGTTAATAACAATCTAATACAAATAATGATATGATCGAAGCTCAATCTATATTTTCTTCTAAATTATTATTAATTTTATCATAATAAATCTTAAACAAAATTACGTCTTATTTCAAATAATACTTACCTAATAATGATTTAATTTCGAAAACATTTGGAATAGAAAATTGTACATATCCTAAATGATTTTTATTGCAATGTAGAAATTTCCAAAAGTTTTCAAGTACATTGTCGGAGCTAAATCTCTCGTACTGAAATTTATCATTAATTATTGATACTTTACCAAAAATTATTCGTTTATAATTTGTTAAACATCCGATGGCATATTTTCGTTCAGGAAATACTTTAACAATTGATCTTAAATACTCCAACATTTGAGAAATATCATTTTGTCTGATAATATTGCTTTTTTTTTCAATTATTGAGACGATATTCCATGGATAAAAATTATTATTAATGGACCATGTGAAATCTGGTCGATTGTCACGAAATAAATGTTCAAAATCACCACCTCTCTGATCACCAGTAAATGTTATACTTGAATTAATCTTCTTTAATATCCCAAGACAAGCAATCCTTGCACAGGATTCCGGTCCGGATTTCGTCGGAATCCGATAAAAATTGACAAAATCCGACAGAATCCTATCGGATTTTGCACGTGTCCGATCAGATCCGACCGTCGGAATCCGGCTCATGGGATTCCGACAAAAATCCGACAAGATACGGACGCAATTATTTGAATCCGACGGAATCCGACCGAGCGAGAATCACCTGGGATATTATCAAATTCTTGACTTTCTTTATTTTCCGGTTTAGATTCTCTAGTAAATTGTTTAATAAGATTTTTAAATTCTTCACTAGGTTCACCAACATCAAATTTATCGATACCAAGATATTCTTCTAAACTTTGACAATCTGAATGTGTTGAACAAAGATAATATAGAACAGATCGTATTGATGTTGATTTTGATTCAGAATTTTTTGATCGAACAGAATCTGATAGACATATATCAGTACGAGAATCACCTAGACAAACCAAGAAAAAAAATCATGAATTCAGAAATTACTGTTCTATTAAATATTTTTCTATCAAGATATTCATTCAATTACAAACTTCTACAAAGCTCTTAACAAGAACAAAAGTCATACTGATTTCCTTTGTTAATTTTTTTATAATCAAATACTAAAACACTTTTGTCCTTAATCAAAGTTCACACTTTAAAAAATGTTCAACATTGATATAAGAAATGAGGCAGTTGATTTCTTCTGTATGTGACAGTCTCTTATGTATTTCTTAACAAAAATAATCGATCATGTTTTTTATTCATATGAATTTCGTTTTTTACATATAATATTTCAAAACAACACTCATGAAATACGGTTTGTGATCCAAAAAGAAATATACTATTTTTCATTAGAAAAGCTATTCTCTAATCATACATATAAAACAAACTTACTCGTCATTATATCATCGAAATTCAATTCAATACAATAACAGAATACACAAATAGAACAATGAGAAAATCTAAAAATACAAACTAAATTAGTAATAATCATTTTATAGAAAGAGACAAAGATTTTGAAATCATTAGTCAATAGAAATATCCAAATGTTATTTATATCTAAACCCCCTCCCATAATAGAAGCCCCCTCTGGAGGATTCGATATGCCAGACATATTAGAAGCTCCCTTATTTTAAAAACTTTTTGAGAGTTTTTTGAAAACATTTTTTAGTATTTTCACAGCAAAACTTAAAAAATTACAAAATTTTAAGGTAAAAATGCGTTAAATTCTTAGTTAACCGTATTAAAATCTCAAAAACTCCTTCAAAACCCTCAAAAATCTGTAAAAAAACCCTGAAAATCCTATTAAGACTTTTGAAAAACTTTAGTACCTAAAACCTTCGAAAAATCATAGGACATAATAGAAGCCCCCTCCAAAAAATTTTTATGCTGGATACTTTAGAAGCCAAGGGGGGCTTCTAATATGGGGAGGGGGGGTTTAGTCTACTGACGGTCATAAGAAATGAACCAAACATGCTATCCAAAGAATTGTGGCTCACTTTATATAGAGCGTATGAACTAATCAGATATTGATCTATACTTTATCACCATCTGTCTATTATCTTCTTTTCTTTTCTTTTCTTTTCTTTTCTATCGGTCCACATAAGTGAGCCAAACGTTAAGATAAGGTACATTTACATTCACACGCTACATACACAAGTGTATGTAGTGTATCCTTTCATATTTACACCAATCATATTACATTCCATGCTATACCTATTTTTTTCCATTTGTCATCTGTTATTGGTTATGATTTCATCGTGATGTGATATTCGTGCATATTCGCCCCTTGTTGTGAACGTAAAACCAAGGGGGAAATAACTGACTTTTATGACTTAAAGTCATTCAGAACGTTTTAGATCATGTAGATCATTTAATTAATTTAGTTCTGATGATTCTCGAGTGATTTTTTGTATATATTCGTTGAGCTGCATCAACTGTTAATCATTGTCATTTGTCAACGTTTGATTGATCTCTTACAATCGATCTTCCATCTGTTTTATTTCTTTGATTCGAAAAACAGCATACACAGAAAAGAAAATTTCCGTTTCTGTTTCTGAATTTTAACTAATCTTGTTCAAGGATTCATATCGATGAATTGATTTCTGTTAGAAAAAATAATGGCTATCAAGCTGAGATTGTTGTGAATTCACAGATCAAATTTCATCAATACCTTATTCATTATACATGTCAACTGGAAATTATTAAATGATAGAAGACGTCCTTGGTTTTTTTTCATCTTCTCAAATTCATCATTCAACATGTCGTTTCCTCGATTGACAGCAAATGAATGTTGATTGACTGATTGATAATATAGTAGTTCGGTTTATTAATTGAAATGATGAATGAAAAAGTTCATTTTAATAATAATTCCTACATATTATGTTCTCAAAGCTGTGTTAAGCATTGAATATGTAATATAGTCTCGAATGTACCATCAGATGAACGATCATATTTTTGTTTGAATTCATCAATGATCTGAAGTTTTCGATCGTTATTAGCATATTGTTGATGACAGACATCAACAAATTCTTTCTTCGTTTTATCGTCGTATTGCCATTTCAGAAGATATCTTTCAGTAACCTAATACATAATTGATTGATCGAACTCATTTCAGTCAGTAGAAGAAGTAGTAGAGACAACACAGATAGATATTCGATTTTCTTCAGCTTCATCAACATCTCATCGAAATGTATTCAATTTAAGTAAATACATTGTTCATTTTATAATATCGTTTTACTCAAACTTCATCTTTAGATTGATGTTGACAATATACATATATAGATCGATGTAATTTGAATGATATTTTCGATAAGAATTTATTCATTGATAGCCGAATCTCACCAAATAATAATAAAATTTTCAGCATTTAGTTCGTGAAGAGACTCTTGTTCTATGTGTCCTGACAATAATGATGAATTTAGACATTAAATTCATGCCTTTTTCCAAATTATAATCTTTTTTTTGAAAATCGTCTGAACAAATCCTTACTTTGCTTTCTGTTGAAACTATTAACAATAATATGAAAGACAGAAAGCAAGATATTTATATTAGTATCAGATAAAAATCATTTGTTTTAATTTGTATCCAAAATACAACTATTTATTTATTGAACATCTAAAAGAACTTGGAAAATTTTCGATTTATAAAAAACAAATCACAATCATGTTTGTTTATTTACAAGCAAGGTTAATTCTGTTGAATGCATCATGTTGTGAATGAAATGAGACATTTTTCTCATATTCTTTTTGTTAATGATTTCATAGAAATACTTTTAAGTGAACTTCAAAATAAATTCTTTATTCACTTCATATCTTATTTATTAATCAATCTTACAAGGCATCGATGAAAAGAAAAATTTCAAATGATTGCTAACAATATAATTTTCTCTTTGCATCAAATAGTTTTTGTATGATTAAAAATTTTCTAAGAAAGACTTCAGAATATTTTCTTTACCGAGTTTATCTTTCTCCAGTCCATTTGTTGAACAAGGTAAAATCTTTTTCTTTTTGGTAGAAAATGTTTAAAAGAATAAAGAGAAAATGATAATGTCTAATACACTTTCTAAGATTCTCAGACAAATTTCAGATATGACTTTATCTTTACATCACTTTTTTTCTATAACATCTCTGTCACATCTATTTTGGATAAAATGAAAGTAAAGTCTAACGTTTAAAAATTCAATTTTAACCAATATATAGTACGCAGTGTCAAACTATACATCATATATGATATTTAAGTCGTCGATATATGATTTATCCAACTTTCTACTGTAAACTAATCTTGTTTATCTTTTTGCTAATGAGAAATTTATATTTCACTATTGATATGATATAGGGTAAAGCAAACAACTAAGAAAAATAATATTATTGAGATATTTACGCATAAATATATTTTTCTTATCAATGAAAGAAATATTTATTTGATAATATATAAATTAATATATATATATATATCTTAATTTAAAAAAATCTATTATACAATCTATGTAGTAGATTATTGAAATAATTCATTGACGTATAATAAACGTTCGTATCATACAAATAAAAAATAAGAATATTATTACATCGATAAGCAAATAAACACTAAAGATAAATAGATCAATGGCATTATATTAAATCAAATATTGCAAGATCATATATTTTCCAATTTCTACTGTCATTAAATCTTTTTATTTTTTTATGTCAAACTAATGACTTCATTTAATATAAATATTCATAAACAACATTCATTTCATTCATTAATAGTTTTATTTTATATAAATTCATTATTGTAGATCTTATTATTTCTGTGATTATTAATTACGTAAGATCCCTTGAAATTATTTACCCAATATTTTTTGATTATAAAACAATTAATTCTAAAGACAACAAAACAAAATTAGTTGAAAGCACATGACATTTATGTGTCAGTTAGTATCCATATATTTTTCTAGGGCAATATACGATAGAATGCAAGTAACTACTAATAGCTAAAGAATAACACATGCCTATCATATTGATTCATTCAGTTCGACACAACATAATAATAACAATTACGATGATCTAACTCTTGTTCTGCTTTTTCTCTCTCTCTCTCTCTTTTTTCACATATAATATAACCAAACGAATAGCTCGTGTGTAAAAGAGAGATAAAGAAGAAAGCGATTCGATCGGCAAACGCTTAACACATCATACTATCACGCACACATCAACAGCAATTAGGCTAAGTGAAGATTGAGATAAATCAGTGATCAAGATACCTGGTTTTTTTGCTCCATTGCGTGCTCTTCATTAGAGATCATTGATTTTTCTCTTTCATTACATTACAAACAAATCTGTACGTTCAGAGTAAGTTATATTTTTTCCAAAATTCTAATCATGAGCTAATAAAGATAAGAGAAAATTTAGAAAAGATTTAACAAATTTTCACCTAAAACAAAATTTTTTTTTTCTATATCATTAGTGAAGATAATAAACCAATTTAAAGCATCAAATTCCGGCTATATATAAATAAATAATTAAAAACTTCGATACTTTTATGAATTCAAAAAATTCTTTGGATACTTAATTAAGATCTCCCAGTCTAACAGATATAGAAATTTTTAATCTTTTTCAATTTTATTAAATTTTAAGAAACGATACCAAATTCATGAGTCTCTAATTGAGACGTACCGTTTTTTTGTCAAAGGCTTAAATAGCATTTCCTTTTCTTAATAATCAATTTCGGAAATACATTTTTTTAAATATCAAATGAACATAGTGGTTTAAAATAGATGATCTAAAGTTCGTTCTATGTAACTTTTAGATTGTTTTTGCAAAAAATAGTTTTGTTGAAAATATAATAAAATATTCATAGAAGTTCAAAAGAAAAACAAGAATATCTTTACTATAAAAATGAGAAAATTTCAAACTATACATTACTATCATCTGCGTAGTAAACGTTTTTCTTTTCTTGTTTGTTAAAATATAAGAATTTTAAAAGATAATAATAAATTCCTTTCATTCAAATTATTCATACAGAAAAAAAAAGGAAGCCTATTCTATAATTCTTTATTCATTTAGAATAAAACTATGACAGATAAAAAAATTTCAACAACCATCAATTCAAATGACGGAACAAATAAAATAGTTGAAAAATATCTCAAAGAAAGCGATAATGAAGAAGATAGTGGTATGTACAAGTGTTTCATTTAATTAAAGAAGAAAAAAAAATCTCATTTTGTGATTATTAAGAAAAAAAAAATAACAATAACATTTAATCTTGTTATGCATATTATTCTCACATGACATGAATAAAAAAAAGTATTTCTTTTCAGTTGAAATATTTTTTAAAGGTCATTGTTATGATTAACGTCTTTCGCTATTTACATGAATAAATTCCTTCAAGCATTCGATGTCATAGATACGTGAATGCTTTTTTTTTTATTTTCCGTCGTCATCTATCATAAAACTTCTTTAATGAAGCAAGAATGCTAATCATTGAACAGGAAAAGAAATGTAAGTAATATGGTAGTTTCAAAACGATGAGTGTGTTTCTTTCATTATTACAATAAGATAAAAAACAGCGAGAAATGAGCTCACACCTGACTTTTCCTATTATGCTTTCACGCGTAGGTTGTCGTTTGACACATGCTCATATTCCCGTGTAATATGACAAGATTCTTCTTTTTCTAAAAAAAAAAGTTTTTTTTTTGTTCTTCTAACTAAAAAAAAAAAAAATCAGTATGAATATTCCTTTTTTTATTCTTTTGATACTACAGTAATCATTGTCTGTAGCCTCGATTGATTTTGAAGAAGAAAAAAAAACCGAACATCTGGCCATATGCTTTGGTTGGGTACTAATAAATCAAATTTGCAAGTTCTGTTTTTTTGAAACGTTATTTACTATCTAGATTGTTTTTGTTCCTCCTCTCTTCCCCCTCCCTCTCTCTCTTTCTCTCTCTCTCTCTCTCTACCTATCTTCTTCCTCGAACTCGACGAGCAAGAGAAAAAAGAAACAGAAAAAAAAAGTAGAAAAATAGGCCGCACAACAACAAGTATACCGGCTACACTGAACACATTATACATTTACACGACATGATGATCCTATCGACTACTTATTGTAACACTTAAAAATAGTAGAATTATATTTTGTAACGTGCTTAAAAACAAAGAATTAGAAAATCATATTAGAAATTGTATAATGACATCTAAAACAAATAAAAAATTAGTAACAACAACAACAACAATAACAGCAGCAACAGTATCAACTTCCGTTTCACAGCAATTTGCCAGTCAATTGGAAGGTTTTATTGAGTGTGAGTAATCATTAATAGTTTTTATTGAAAAATAAATTTCAAAATTAGTATTTAGTTCTATCATTGAAAATAGTCAATTGAATATTATTGTATTAATAAGAAACATATTGACATATTTTTGCCTGTTGGCGTCACTACATAGTCAATATAAAATAACTAAAGGGAAAATTCCCTATGTGCATGAATATTAACTTCATTTTTTTAATTAAGAAATTTGTATCTTTTCTAGTTGTATACAATCATATAGATGACGTATATAAACTCTCTTATCTTTCTTGGAAAAAAGAATGTTTATGATTCTTTCTAAAATTAATACCTTTTATTTCCTACACATATGATAAACTCAAAATGAAATTTAAAAAAATTATTGTGAAGAAGTTTGATTTTTGTTGTTAATTTTAAACGATCATTATCTTCAGATAGAAATCTAACGAAATAATAGAGAAATTGATGAGATTTGATAAGACAGACAGTTGAAATTCATTTAAGGTTAATTGACAAATATGAAATCATTTTTATTAAATATTTTCTAGCTGATGAAGAAGAAACTGCAGTACCTGCTTCAGCTCAAAGTCTTGGTATTCGTGCACAAAAAAAATTACTAAGGTAATAAAATACATATGAGAAAAAAAACTAACAATAAAGAACAATATTCATTTTTCTTTTAGTAAAATTTCATCAAAATCAGTTGTTAAAGTTTTTATTGATGACACTAGTAGTCATGTATTAGACAATTTACATAAATTAATACGTGCTTATTCAGATAGTAAAAAAGAAGCTGACAAATTACTTAAATCAATAATAAAAACAATTGTTAAATTGGGTATATTATATAAAAATAATTTATTTAATGAATATGAATTAAAATTAATTGAAGATTTTCGTAGTCGTTTTCATTCATTATCAAAAGCAATTGTTACATTTTATGAAGTTGATTTTACATTTGATCGTGTTTTTTTAACACGTATGTGTAAAGAATGTCAAGATTTAACACATAAAATTATATCAACACATTTAACACAAAAATCTCATATACGTATTGATTATATATTTAATTATTTATCAAATTTACAATTTATTGAATATGTTTTTAATTCAAATTCAACGGCAACTCGTGCAATTATTAAAGAAATTGTTCAAGATATGAATTCATTAATGGATGCTGGACTACTATGATTTATATTGAGACACGTTATTGCTATGCATGCTTTATTTTAATCAATTGTCAATGCTTGGGTGTTCTGTGTATAAACATTTTTTTTTTGCATTCGCTTTTTTTTCTCATTATATATCTTTTTTTTTCTAAGTAAAGAATCTTGATGTTTATTATCATAATTTCAGTTTAAATTAGAGTTATTTTAAATGACGATGGTGAATTTCTATATTATGAAAGATTTATACAAACAAAGAAAAAAACAAGCACGTTTCATTTTCTTTTGATAGATTCGGTTTTGACAAGCATTTAAAAGGATATAATTTATTAGAAGATGAAGTTTGATTATTATTAATTCAGACATCGTATGAATAAATAGAATTATATTATTATATGAATATAGGATTAGACACCAGAGAGACTTCAATATGTCATCAAGCTTGTCTAAGATAGACAGACAGACACAAGTCCTAATTTTTGTATCTATCACAAACTAGTTAGGCCTGTTAAAATTAGCAAGACATCAAAATATATAGTGATTCATCTTTGCGCTTAGAATATATGTAATGGTTCTTTTTTTACTATTTTGATTATATATAATTATGACTAATTATAGATAATAACAACGTTGTTCATTTCCCATTTATTTGTTTAGTTTGTTTATTTCTTTCAATAAATTACTGTTTACAATTTCTAACCAATTATTATTATTTTCTTATACAAATTATTGACTAATTCATATTTATGTTGTTGTAATAGGACAGCAGCACATGATATATCCTCTTAAGCTAATTCATCAAATTCATTGAAAAGGTTATTACCAAAAACAGAGGTTTTGTTTTTGATCGTTCATGTTTTCTTTGTGGTTTATTGTTGACAGATGTATACTATATCTAATTAATAAATGCTTCACATCGTCATATGGTGTTAGTGTACATAGATTTCTTGCCTTTGTATTAGGACAGTCTTCTGTTTCTATTCAATTATCATCATAATAGTATTATGTTTAAAAATAGCTTATTAGTGCATTCCCATTGGGACTAAAATGGGAAACTCGCATGTTTTCTTTAGTCTCATTACACTAATACAAAATATGTAAAAAGAAAAAAATCTCTAGCAGATCACGGTTGTTTTCCAAGAATAATCGATCGCCCGAAAAACGATCTGTCTTATTTATGTCTATATGTCAAACAGAAATTTTTTCTTCTTTTTACTAATTCTCTATGGTTTGTTGGCCTTGTTGCTATTCATTCGATGTCCTTCATTTTCGCATTCCGCTTTTCTTAATTTAACATTATTATTATTCTAACTATTGGTTTAACTGACAAATAAGCCTGTTACACATATCCAATATATCTATAGTAGATTCCAACACACTATTATATATCGCAATAAGCTCACAAATACTAACATTGACTATTTTCCAAAGGTATAACTTAATCATATGACGACTGTTACAAATCAATGTATCACTACCAATCATCGATGACATTTTCAATAACAATTTTTATCTGTACAAAACCCAAAAGCTGCACTACTTAAAACAATCATAAACATATTCCAGTCCTTACAATTTCGAGAAAGACTTCGAAACATTCTAGAATACTCTAAGCCTTGTTGTTAATACCATTCAGCACCGTTTTTTACGTTACTAAGAAACTCTGAAAAAAGAAGTCTGAAGCTTGTTGTCCTTGGTTACTACGAAAAAGTATTCAAGGATCGGTCAAGATAATGTAAGTTCCACAAAAGAATATACAGATTATAAGAAGTTGGTCGACGAAAACAAATGATAGACTTCGATCAACTAAAGACGTTCATAGTCTGTCATAAGTAAGTCAGGCATTTGAAAAATAGGTTTGTTTGGACCTCTATTAGGTATGTATTGATCAGATTTCAGTGCATTTCGTCTATTTGAATACGACCAACGATGAGGTTCCTGTAACAAACCATTTTTTTTTCTGTTTAATATTTATATGTGAAAATAATAGTAAGCATTCAAATAAAGGTGAACGAATTATTGTATTTTGAAAATTGCTTAAAATAATCCGTATCTATTTCATAGACAATATGGTTATTTTTGGTAGCATAACATTTCATCTTTTGTTCTTCCTAGACAGTAAGGATAGGATCTAGAAATAGAAACTCACTCGTATCTGTCGATCTGTTCGTCTATAACATAGTTACCGTATGATAAGTATGGTACAAATTATCATATAGTAACTGTGAGACAAATGACTGCGTAGGATAACAAAAAAGGTACGTATGCATTATGATACATATTACCAAGGAATACTATTCCAGAACAAAGAATACAAAACTTATGCATTCCGTATATGACAGTATACGACTGTAATTTGGTGCTCGGGGAAATACAGTGGTAATACTGAGCCATGTAATATGTCAGTATGCGAACATTTACGCTCGTTTACGATCGTTCTTATTCGATCTGAGATGTCTTTAGAAATGATAATCCTTGTTAAGTTATTAAATGGTTTGATCGATTGTTCAATACGATATACATGAGAATGCAATGCAATATTTATTATGAGTTAGAGAGTGAATCTGAACGTATGATTATGATTAACTAAAATCATACTATTAGCATAATGTGATATTAATTCTTTTTGGCAATAGAAAAGCGCTAATTAACTATTTGTAAATAATTGTATTGATTTCTATGTAATCTTTATAAATCAATAAATATATAGCATACGTTTTATTTTAAACATAAAAAATACTATGAATGATAAAAAGTCGCAACGTTTTCCATTTCAAGTTTTTTATTTAAAATATTCAACCATTGAGCTTTTTGTAGGAAAATCAATAACATTGCATATATAAACAAAACTCCATTAGACAAGTATAGCATATTCAAAATTGTTTTTTTTTACAAACATAAAAATCAAGTTGTACGTTACACAAAAAAAAAATGATTTTGTGAAACGGATCGCTTTTATATGTCAAATCACCTCTTGTATTTATCTAGTACTTAACTTAATGCACGTTTTATCACAATGCACCTATATGCATATCTCTATTTAGTTAATCTAAGACCACCAAGTGAATCGAGTTACGATGAATATTACTTGTTATGCAAGCACCATCTATACTCCAGAAAACCAACACATCGCAATATGTTCAAATCAGCTAATCAATCTTTAACAATTAATAAATTATATTCCTACTTAAACAATATTGAACTACCGATAAAGTCATATCGAATAACTTAATCAATGCTGATCATTGAAATCATATTGGCCAGGCGTTCGTTTTAACCTTATTACACGATTGTTTGAACCGTATTGAAGATAGACACATACAGAAGAATTTCTGTTTCTAAATGTTACCATTTCAATCCAATGAATTTCGCTGTACTATCATTACACTTCAGAATTCTCAAAATCTTGTATAATGATAGAAACAATGATTTTATGACAATCATTCCTTCAAATTATTAGTTATAACTCGAGAAAATGGAAGATGAAGGCAGTTTGATTCAACAAATTCATTGAATCAAAGATAATATTTCACTGTTTATGATTTCGACTACACATAAACTTCACTTCTTCGTTGATAAATATTTATATATTACTCACAATATAATATCTATAGAATCAACTAGAAAAATCACTCCAAAACATTCAAGATCATTTGACCTTACATAGACGATCAATGATGAAAATATTCTTGTGAATCAAGTACAAGAATGCAAGAAGTGCTTTTAACCATTCTCTCACTTTTTATAATGACAATTGAAAATTCAGATATATAAATAGAAATATTTCATCTGTTAATTAAAAACTGATAATTTATGTTTTCAATGATTTCATAACTATAATCATTCTTTAAAACATACATCATTACTAATCCCATTTTTATGATGTCTACATTAAGATATAGAATTGCAAAAAAAAATATCAATCGAAAGCGATTCGAATACATTTTCAAAAGAACTTCTCATGTAAAACATTTTAACGCAAATGTGTTCGCTCCAAAAAAAAGAAATAATCTTCTTCAGTCTCAAATAAAAACTTCTCGTACAACACAAATCACTTCTCTGTATGTCATGATCGATATGTGTGTGACAGAAAATATGTCTAGTTCATATGATGAAGTATGCCTAGTTATAATACCTTAATTTAAAGTTATTATTTGAACATAAACAGTAAGAAATCTTAGCTTGTAATTAAAATTCAATAAGAAAAATTTCGTTTAATAATATATGCACAATGAACTTGACTAAAACAAACATAATATTGAATATAAAATATTCTTGTAGAATGGTTCAACAAAAAAAAAAAAAAGAAAATTCAAGCAAATGTGATTATTCTTCTTTGTAAAGCAATCATGAAAGCAACAAAAAAGAAATGTATGAAGAAAACGATTGAAAGACGATAGAGAGAGAGAGAGAGCAAGAGCAAAAAAAAATTTTGAAACTATGTCGTTACACACAAACACACATATACACGACACCCTGTCAACTTTTTTTTTTCTATTGTGTTTTCTGTTTACTTTGTTCGCGTTTGATTAGGTGTGTTCGGAGACAAATGGGATGAAGTCTCTATCTTTTATTGAACTGTAATATATAATATAGATTCAATATCAATGGCAACAAAAAATTTATCAACATCATTTAAAGGTAAAATTAATGGACAACGTTTACCACCAATTCCAATTACAAATGAACAACCAACAACAGCAACAACGACAACAGTAACTAATGGAGATAATCTAACTTCAATTTTAAAAAAATCAAAACCATTAATGGAAGATTTGACAACTGATGATCATACACTTCCTCTTGATGATGGTTTGATTATATAACATATTTACATTATTAATTGAATTTTTTTTTCTAGATGACTTCGAAACTTCACGAGTTATATTTCAAAAGTAAATTCAAGAATAAATTTTATTCTTTCAAAATTTTTTTTTTTTGTGTTTCTATTCTTAGATCATCAGCAGATGTGCTCATGTTACTTGATACTTATCCACCTAAAAGTAAATTATTAAATTTCTGTCA